TATATATATATATATATATGTATATATATATATAGTAGAATATTGCCAAGAATATTTTCATTCACCTACATATTCACCTAACTTTCTCCCCAAAATAAAGGTAAATGTCAATCTGATATTTCTCATAGTCATATACTTGCTTTATTTTTGAAAAACTTAAGTTTTAGTATGTAGGTATGCCTTTAGTTTAGCCCACTTCAAATTTTAAAGAAATTGAATCATTCTGTAAAAGCGTTTTCCTGTAAATTGCTTCTTTCTTTCCACATTGTACTATAAGAAATACCCATATACAGCATGCATGTAGACATAGTTCACTTATTTTCATTTATGTATAGTATTTCATTGTACAAGTATGCAACTATTGGGACCAGCAGGTGGTGTGGTAGTTAAGGTGCTGGACACTCCCACATGGCCAACCATGGTTCAAGTCCCAGACCTGGTGGCTTTCTTTCTCACTTGTCTTGGCTTCTCTCTCTCTCTCTCTCTTTCTCTGTGTGTGTGTTTCTCTTTGGTCAAATTAAAAATAAATGAATAAATAAATAAAATTTCAAAAAAAGAATATGCAACTATTTATCACATTTTTTGCAAATGGAGATTTTGACTGTTTCCTGCTTGAAGTTATATCACCAATATTTCAGTAATTATTTTTACATATCTTAACCACCACGCCACCTGCTGGTCCCTATTTCTACCTATCTTTCATGATAAAAAAATGTGCAAGTGTTTCTTTAGGGTATGCAATAAAGAGTGGAATTGCTAGGATGTAAAGTATGTGTTTCTTCACCCACACTAATGCACGGCATAATGTTGTTTTAGTCAATATTCATTCACAAAATATAGAATGCAATGAAATCTTGTATAAACTCATTTTACAGTGCTCAGTTTCAATACTAAACAGAGAATAAAATGAGATATCAGGGGTCAGCAGGGAGCATGGTGGTTAAGGCACTGGACACTCCCACATGACAGACCACTGTTCAAGTCTCAATCCCGGTGGCTTGCTTTCTCACTTTCCTTCTCTCCGTGTGTCTGTCTTTCTCTGGTCAAATAAATATAATTGAATGAATAAATAAAATTAAATAATTCTTTTTTTAAAAAAATGAGATGTTGGTATACATTTACTAGAATAAAAAAAATTAAAAAGACTAACAATACCAAGTGTTGGTAGAATAGGAAGCAATATTACCTCTTATACACTGGTGGTAGATGTATGTATTCTACAATACAGTAAAAAGCATTTTGGCATTATTTAGTATTCATTATAAACAAATTGACCCAAATAGATATATACAAGAATTAACAGTAATTACTTTGTAAGGAAACAACTAGTGTAAAGGAAAAGATCATTTGGGTATATGCATGTGTACTCAAAATTCTGGCAAAATTAGAAATGGAGGAGAAAGTCCTGCAATGACTATGTCCCATTGCGGAGTGCTTACCCCCATTTCTCTTTTCTGCTTCTCTCTGATTTTCTCTGGTAAGCACACATGCCCTCTGGCAAAATATTTAAAATAAAAAAGAATTCTTCAAAGTCTTACTGCTAGAGAGTTATTAGTGTTCTCTTTTTTATATTTTACTGTTGACGGAAGTAACAAACTCTGCAAAAATAATAATGTGCTTTATTTCTAAGCACAAATGTGTGTGACCTAGGCCCAGAGAAAAGGCCAACGTGCTTTTCTTGGGGTGATCCGGTACAGGGGTTCCTTTGATTTGATTTTGAGAATGATGGACAAGATTTGGAATTCAGCGTAAAGAGTTTTCCATTGATCTGGCCCAACAAGGAGGAACATCTGGAAGAGAGGGCTTGAAGGCCATCGGTGCGCTTTATGATTCTTAGATTGGTGATGGGAATGGCAGGTCTGTGTTTTAGGAAGGCATCAGCAAAGAGTGTACCGTAACAGAGATAAGATGGCTTGCATATGTCACAAGATACTGTTCCAAGGACAAGACTCAGGAAGGGTCTTGTCATCAATGAGTCAAAATGATCTCTTAATGACTATGGGCGAGACACAGGCATCACAAGTATACAATGTTGATGTCAGGGGCAGGATGGAGGAAGAGTCTGTTATCAAATGGGCCAAAATGATCTCTTAATGTTTGTGGGTGTGACTCACTCCAGGCCCTATGAAAGGGATTTTGAAAATAGGAAAGCAGTCAGATTTCAGCCTTCAATACATACCTGAAGTCAAGAATTTGTGTCATGTTATGCATCACAATTATTTTACATGATTGTTTCTCAATTAGATGGCTTTCTCTTAAGTTTCCTGTCAATCTTTTTTTTCCTGTCAATCATTTTAATCTCAGAACATACTACAGTACTTGCTACATCCAAAAGACTCAATAAATGTTCTGGAATTAACATTTCATAGATACTTCTTTTTTTTTTTTCCCAGAGAGAAATGTTTGCGTTCACTGGAAAGACAAAGGCAGAAAGCAAGAAATCAATCCCCCCACCCCCCACCCCCCGCCCAGGAGATGGCCATGCCATAATCCCTTCTCCTCCCTACTCTTCTTGGGATTGGACATGCACGCACATGCACTCAACATGAGTTTTAAGTCGCCAGGTCCAGAACTCAAACTGTGGATGACTACATGTGAATCCAGCAATGTAACCATTACGCCATCTGCTGGTTCCTACAGATATCTCTTAAAAGCTATGGACCAAGGTGAGGCGTCAGAAAATTTATCTAAATTGAGTGTGTTGATAAGGTAGAGTAGACATAAAAAAACTGAAATTCTCAGAGCCTAAATTTCTGCCATATGCATGTGATTATCTTTTAATTCTGCAAGGAATACTTTAATGATTTGTTTTCCAAAAATCATAGCAGCCTATTTATTTCCAGTCATGCCAAAAAATGCAATAGCATACTTGGGTACATCTTATTCCAGTCATGACTGATTGCCATTGGAAGTCAGGAGTAAGATCACCATTCTCACCCATTTTTTCCTAGTTCATGTATTTGCTAGTAAGCAAAGTAAGAGAGGAAGTCCCACATCATAAATCATGTTTCTGGTGACATCAATTCCATCCTTCTTTCAGTGAACATTTCATGAAAGCCTATAAGAGGTCAAGACCTAATAACCCACCCACGCCGAGGCTGGACCCCGGCAGACTAGCAGTTGGCATAATGGCTATGTCACTGGACTCTCATGTAGTCGACCGCGGTTCATGTCCCGAACCCAGTGGCTTAAAACTCACGCCGGGCGTGTGTGCGTGCATGCCCAGGATCCCAAGAGGAGAACAGAGGAGAAGGGATGGCGGCATGGCCATCACCCCTGGGGGGTGATTTCTCACTTTCTGTCTCTCTGTCTCTTTCTGTCTGTCTGGCGAGTGCACACGCCCTATAGCAAAAATCTCTCCAAATAAAATAAAGAAATAAATAAATAGATAAATAAATAAAGTAACAGCTGTTCTCCGTCAGACAGCAACAAGACAAAGATAGACACAGAAAACAAAATCAGACCATCCTTTTCCACCTGACTTTCACCTCCCATTCGGTGAAGCACCATTCTACATGACATGTAAGACACATTCCACTCTTAGCCTCTGCCTTCAAACGCAGTAGCATCGTCTCAATGATTCAGCCTATAAATAGCACTAGAAGTAAACATTAAACATATGCTATTAGCATACATTCATTCAAATGTGCTTTGCCTATATACTTAATGTAGACATCTACTTAGAATAATTGTCTCTGTGTCTTGGCAACTTCGCATTCTGGGGGACTCCAAGCTCACAGCAGCTTATTTTCAGTGCTGGAAATTTGAAGCAAACGTACTGCAGAAAACAATTGGTGTACCCTAGCTAGCCCTGAATTGCAGCTGCACTGGCTGTGCATGAGCTGGCTGCTGTCAATGAGGGCACTCGTATGCAGAGCACTGCTGGGCTGCCGCAGCTACCGAAGGGCTTGTTGCAGTATTTCCCAGAAACCTGAAGATGCAGACAGATGTTAAGAGGACCAGGTGAGCACACTGAGCAAGGCACAAGAACCAAGGCACAAGGTAAATATCATTTAAATCATGGTAGCAGTAGAGATTTTTTTTTTAAACAGTAAAGCCAGTCTTGGTGGGGCGTATTAGGGTCTCTGATGATTGTCAATAGCCTCCTCGTTCTCCCTCTCCATGTACATTGCAGATTCTTCTTTCTCTCCCTCCCTTCATCTTGCTCTCTGACATGTACATAGATGTATGCTCCGAAAGATCCCTAAATAAATATTTGTTGATATGTCCTATGTCTGTAGAATACAGTTTTCTACCTATAATTTGTCTCTTTTTCTTCTAATTTAACCTGGAATCTACATGAGCCAGAACCTCTCAGAATAGTCTCTTCTTTTAAACTCTTTATAAGAAAGTACCATTATAAACTATTAAAAGTTCACATTGTGCATAACAGATCAAGCAAATGGCAGAAGACTCAGTCGCTATCAAGACAGATTGTATCAAAGAATTCTGTTCAACTTAGCTTTGTCTCACCCAAAGAAAACGTGTAAGACTGAAATATATACAAGAGTATCTATACCCAAGCTTAACGTTTGCTTCTGCTGTGAGCTTTACAGTCTACGAACTAGGGAATGCCTTTTGTGCCGTGGGGTTGACATGCATGGGACTCCAAATTAAAAATTTTGCGCATGGCATCTTAGTGAATGAGGACCCCTTTTGATATATTCACTCCAGAACTATCTTTCTCTTGTTTTCAGATAGATTCTACTGTGTATCTAGAATTGTTGCTTTTTTCTTTCTAATCCTATGGATCAATATCTTCTTAAATAGACAGAGAGAGAATAAGAAATCTGTCTCCTATTTGTGCCCCAAAAGGGTGATCCACTTATCTATCCTCATTACTTAAGAAAGGATATCATCATAGTTAAAGTAAAAGAGGAAAGGGAATTTTAGCATGTATATGTGAAACAACAAATTGCTTATTTTAATGATGTATTACTAATTCTAGTTTTGCTTTCAGAGAGAGGATGAATTATATTTTTTGTTTCCTGAACGTAATAACTCACTCATAATTATAAATTATATATATATATGTGGTTTATATTTATGATGTTGTATATATCTCTCAAATGTGGTGTTTTTTGTTGGAAACGATAAATACGGTATTTTCCTGGACTCAATTGTTGCACATGCATGTATCTTTGAAAATCTATGCTGTACCTCACCAAGACTTACAAATCAGCAGATGGCATAATGGTTATGTCTCTGGACTCCCACATAGTCAACTGCAGTTCAAATCCTGGACCCAGCGACTTAAAACTCATGCCAGGAGCATGTGCCTGGGTGCCCAAAATCCTGAGAAGAGAATGGATGAGAAGGGTTTCCAGTGTGGTCCTCCACTCTGGGGGGGAGGGGTTTCTTGCTGTCTGTCTCACTGTTTTTGTCTGTTTCTCTGGTGAGCGCACATGCCCTATATCAAAACTCTCTAAAAAAAAAAAAAAGAAAGAAAGAAAGAAAAAGAAAAAGAAAGAAAGAAAAGAAATCATAAAATAAAATAAAGTCGAAAAAAATTGAAAGAATATGCGCCTCCGTACTGTGCCCATGTCCACAGAGTAGACCATGTCATTACAACTCATAATACACGGCCATGCAATGTACAAGCCCAAAATTAGCAAATGGGGGCTGGCAGGTGGTGCCGTGGTTAAGGGCACTGGACTCCCACATGGCTGACCATGATTTGAGTCCCAAACCTGGCAGCTTGCTTTCTCACATTGGCACATGTGTGTGCATGCCAAAAATCTAGAGTTCCCTCTCTCCCCCTCTCCCTCGCCCTCTCCTTCTCCCTCTCTCTCACTCTGTCCCTCTCTGGTCAAATTAAAATAAGTAAATGAATAAAGTTAAATAAAATAATTCTTAAAAAAAAAGTTAAGTTTATTGAATGAATCAGTAATAAAGCATTGGATCAAAAGGGTAATATTGAATGATAATGAAGAAATGCACTTTGGGGAACCAGCAGTTGGCGTAATGGCTATGTCGCTGGACTCCCATGTAGTTGACCGCGGTTCACGTCCTGGACCCAGTGGCTTAAAACTCACGCCGGGTGCGTGTGCATGCGTGCCCAGGATCCCGAGAGGAGAATGGAGGAGAAGGGATTGCAGCGTGACCATCCTCCCCTGGGGGGTGATTTCTTGCTTTCTGTCTCTATGTCTCTCTCTGTCTGTCTGGCGAGCGCACGTGCCCTATAGCGAAAATCTCTCCAAAAAAAAAGAAATGAACTTTGACAGGAGGTTTACAACGTGTGTATAAATGGCTAAGGGAATAAAAGTTGTGTGTTCCCAAAGCGGAAACATTCTAATTTACATTAACAGATTGAATTTGTCATATTTAACGGCATAGTTTCATATTTAATGGCATATGACTATGGAAAAACATTTAAATTGATTATATTTGTCCTCATATTGGTTTCATTTATTTATTTACACATTCCCTGTCGTGTCTCACAGTGAATTTCAGTGTGGGAATTACAAATCCAAGGATAGGTTAGATAAAGAAATGCATGCCTTAGGTACTGCATGGTTGTATCTTCAAGCGTATTCATACCTTCGGAGCTCCTGCCATGAGCATAACGGAATAAAAGGAGATGTTTAGTATGGTCCATTTATATACCACTCCTTACTCCTAGCAGTAATTCTATAACTGCTAATTACAGAATTTGCTGTGACTTATTCTTAAACGGTACAGTATAATAGCAACAAATGAAGATATGAATGCACAAAAAACACACGCGGTGTTTACATTCTCAGATTACAATGGCATCAAGACCTCTAGATACTGCCTTCTCATCAATTAATAATTAAGAGTCCCCCAATTAAATCCCTACTCTGATGACCAAACCAGTAGTGGAAAAGATATATGTAAATGGGAGCACTTCCTCACTGCTGTTGGGAATATAAATTCAGCACATTGGAGGTCAATTCAACAGTACCTAGTGAAGATAAAGACCGTCATACTCCATAAACCAGCATTTTCAATTCCGGATGTATACCTTCAAAGGACTGCTACACATGTGCATAAGAACTATTGCTTTTCACAATGAACAACAATATAAATGTCTATTAAAAGGGCAACGGCCAGAAATTGGGTTTATTATATTCATAAAATGTAATGGCGTGCCGTGGTTGAAAACAACTATAACTGTAGACATTATCATCAATTTAAAAAAAAAAAAAAAACCATAATTTTGAATGAACAAAATGCATTTTGGAATTAAACCTAAGATAGTATCTATATAAATTAAGAAAAACAAGTAATGCACTCTCATCTCACATACATTTGGATATACATGCTTATATATGTGTGTGTGTATAGATGAGTTTTTAGAAACACATACTTTTTATAGTAAAATCAGAGGCAAGGTAACTGTACAGCTAATCAAATAGTACTAAAGCCTGTTCATGTCTGTCCTTAATTCTGCCCTAGACCTGTAGGCTTGTATCTTACCCCATTCCCCATGAAACATGCTGGGTGGAGCATATTGCTTTTTTGGCTTTATTTTGTTTTCTAACAGGCAACATTTTTTTCTCTTGTAACTAAGTGGATTTTAGTAAATTGGAAGTCTTTTGCTTTGTACTAAGAGAGACTATTTTGATAAGCTTTTCAGTCATGAAAATGGAAGTCAAATATCTCACCATTCAATAATGGGTCAAGTTCTGAACATTGATGTAATAGTGAATGAACTTTGGAAAAAGGTGTGATATATTCTGCAAAAAGGCTATGGGCAGGCCTAGCAGGTGATACAGAAGTTAAGGCACTGGATCCCACATGACTATATGCACCACTCAAGTCCTGGACCTAATGGCTTGAAAAGCAGGCCCGGCACATGTGCATGTGTGCCCAAAATCCCAAGAGGAGACTGAAGGAGAAGGAATTATGGCATGGCCATCCCTCCTGGGGGGCGGGGGATGATGTGGTAATGTCTCACTTTCTTTCTCTCTTGCTTTCTATGTCTCGCTGGTGAGTGCATGCATTCTATAGCCCCCCCCCCAAAAAAAAAAGAAAGAAAAAAGAAGAAAAACAAAAAAGAAAAAAAAGGCCACAGGCAGAAGATAACTCTGCAGATATTATGGTGTGGTTTTTCCCATTTCCTTTTAGCTGGAACCAAAGACAGGAGGACATACGAGTCTCTTCTTTCAGGAGAGACAAGGACAGTGAAGACAAAGTGTCCTCAGTTGACAAACAAGCCCACCTAGCAGTTACAAACCAGAGGCTCAAGGGAGGGAGATGGCCATTGGAGGGTTTCCTGGACCATTGACCTTAAGCTCTCTGATATTCATTTTTTTCAATTCCTTTTTCTTTTTGGCTGCAATCCTTCTCTGTGATCTCCAAGCTTTGAATTATGTCCATTAGACATGCCCACCTTATACTGGCTCTATGTCATGGAATCAAGGGAAGGGACTAGAAAAACTGCAGCCTGGTGGAAAGTGAAATTGAGACCCCTTGAAAAAGGGATTTGCTGCACAGACCTAAGAAGATGGTGTAACTATCCTGCGTGGTAAATAGTGCTTATGGTTCTTCTGTGGGGGTTGCTAGGGTAAGGAGAAGAGCACTGGGAACTGTTAAGGTGACACTGAGTGATGGTAACAATAGGACCACAGATAAGAGGAGGTCCACTTGTGGAGCAACAATACCTAGAGGAGTGAACACACGATATTCAGACACTCGAAATTCAGAGTTCCAGTAAGGGGGTCCTTATTGGTTAGCTAGCCTGCAAAGTCTCTACTGCAGATTCAATGCTGAAGTCCTCATCAGTCAGTCACATGGCTGTGTCAAAATACACAAGTGGGGGCCGGCAGGTGGCATGGTGGATAAGGGCGCTAGACTCCCACATGGCCGACCATGGTTCAAGTCTCGGAGCTGGTGGCTTGCTTTCTCACGTTCTCTCTCTCTCTCTCTTTCTCTCTCTCTCTCTCTCTCTCTCTCTCTCTCTCTCCCTCTCTGTCTCTCTGGTCAAATTAAAAAATAAAATGAATGAATAAATAAAATTAAATAAATAATTATTTTTTAAAAAATACACAAGTGGCTGGCATTGCATTTGTTAAATATGTTTAATTCACTTAGATGTTTATTTTTACTTCAAAACTGGTGTTCCATAGAATAGTCAAAATTATCTGGTCAGTTATAACCACAGTTTAAAATACTTTCTTTAATAGTGTTACTTAGTTCCTTAGTTTTTTTTAAATGTCCATGATAAATATGAAAGTTAGGAAACTTAATTTTTTTTTTTTTACGTTTTTGCCATAGATCATGTGCTCTTAACAGGGTGAAACAGAGAGAGTTGGAAAGTGACTAATCACCCCTCACGGAGATGACCACGGTGCAATACCTTCTCCTTTGATCTCCTCTTGAGATCCTGGGTATGCACACACCCTTGCCGGTGTTTTTTTTTTTTTAAACCACTGGGTCTGGGA